AGAGAGAAAGTAAGACTGCTGTTTAAGTTCTCTAATCCAGCCGAGCTTTTGAATTCCCCCAAGTTCAGAAACTGTGACGCTAACCACAAAATTCTATTCAGACAGCCACCCCTGTCTTCCACACCAAAGTAAGAGTATGTCCGTACATTAAAGACGTAGGACCAAAACCAAATATTGGGTATTGAAGTAGAGAGGGGAACATCGACTCAGTAGCGGTCATTTAGTGCAGAGGCAGAAGCAAGATAGGCAGACAGAAACGACAGAGGGAAAGAAAAGACGTAGTGTATTCGCTAATAATAATAATAATAATAATAATAATAATAATAATAATAATAATAATAATATCGTCACTCTCATGGTGTTCGTCCTTCCTGAGGGAAGAAGACCTTCTTCATCATATCCGGGGGGTGGGGTATAAGATAATTGTGTAAGTCGTTGTTGGCCGGTTTTGAGTTTTTTGTTCCGAAATGAAGTGCAGAGTCAACTTGGTATTATAGTTACTCGTAGTTCACTTGAACAAAAGAATAATCCAAACATAAAATATGTCGAGTCTCCTAAAATTCAAGCGCTTCACATTGTCAATGGTTCCAAAGAAAAGCTTCTTCTCATTTTCTCAAAATGTCTAAAAGTGACATAAGTATTTATTATCTTAATAGCGTAACGAAAATATATTACGTATGTAGCGCTCAACCCCGATTGAGTAATACAGGCTCTGAGACTTTTACAAACATTATAACAGCAACACATATACAGCACACAGTGTTCTGACGAGAAAAAAAAAAGAACCCCTAGAAATATCTCATTAATCTAAAAACAGAAATGAGGCCAAAATCAAATATCGCGGAGAATAGATGGACGGCAGAACTTCAGAAATACTCTCTGATTTCCTGTAATGCGCAGCCCTTTCATTTGTCGCAATGACCACACTGTATAGCTGCCTGGCCATTAGGGAAATTGGACCAAACGGGGAAAGTTATTTCTCCTGAAACATCACGAAGGATCAAAATTCTGGAAATCTGCTCGATATAATAATATTTGTTATCATAGCCTAGAAGTGCTTCCTTTTTTCTGTGACGTAGATTACACCGATGCTCCAATTTCCGATGGTAGTCAAGATAGCCAGATTGGGCGGGGGTCATCGGACTTTGGCGGGGTTTTTATTTCAGACTGGGTAAGGGGACACTGGGTATTTTCCTTCTAATACGGTCCATCAGCTTATGATTTAAGCAGGCTGACCTATTTCTTTTTCTTTTTCCCCCCAAAAATATTGGCTGCTTATTTGTGTCTATGTTTTGTTTTTGTTTTTGTCGGGGTTTTGTTTTTTTTAAGTAAAGAGACGTACATGGACTAAATAGCCGTTATTTTGCGCCTTAAAAGAAGCAGGAATACCAGACAAACAGACAGAAACAGCAGGGAGAGTAAACAAGGAGGAGCGACCAGTGACCCTGTTTGTCTCAAAGGCAAAATGCAGGATATCTCATTCAATAAAATCGCCCCTACATCTTCCTCCGAAACAGAGCTAATCACCCCACCCCCAAGAAAACAACCAACCAAACAAACAAACGCTCATATTAACCACCCCCTCTCTTTTCCATAGGTGAAAACAAAGGACCCATCCACCTCTTAACGCGAACAATAATGACACATTATTGTTTGTTTAGTATAGGGTTTTACGGCGCTCGCAACTGCATAAGGTCATATGAGCGAGCGGGACACACCTAATATTTTTTCGTTGGTAGGAAATTTTGAATTTTGCCCGGGTGGCGGCCGAAGCCTACTCTTATCGATTTTAGACCACCAAGGGATCTTTAACGTGCGC